ATAACAACAAGACAAATATTAAAATACAAAAGTAAAAATCCAACAGTTAAGATTGAACTGTTGCTTTCTTAAATGTCACAGACGTGCGCTGGATGAACCATTGACATGTTTTGTCAATAAGTAAATATAATTTAATCATAATAATATAATTCTATACTTTTAAATAGTAAATATTTAAAACAGGAAGCAGGATTCTGTGTGGAGCTGCAGCTCTGTTGGTGGAGTTCAGATTCTAGGATGTGATGATGCCGTTCTCCCAGATGGAGCAGAGACAGTTTTCCTCTTTGATCACACTGAACTTTACCATGAAGGTAAATGCACAAATGTTCAACCTGATCATTTCTGTCAGTGACTCGACACTAGAACTCACTGTATTACATCACAAATCTGGATTTGAACTCTGTTCATTTCAGTCGTCCCCATCGTTATTTAATAAGATTGGCCTGTAGAACGTTGTGATGTCGTCTGATTATGATCTGACTCATGGAGATGATTTAAATTACAATGAAACCACAAAATCTGACGTGAGTGATCAGAAGGACAAATATCAAATAAAGAAATGACATGATTTTTGCTGTTTACATTTTATTTTATTTTGCCTTTTATTTTTATCCTTTGGCTCCACAATGTGATAATAATCAGATTTCGTGTGTATCTGCAGCCAGTGTGAAAGCTCAAATCCTCTGTGTGATCTTGTGTGTGAGTGTCCCTCAGGGCTCTGCGCTGGGCCCGCTGCTCTTTAGTTTCTTTATTAATGACTTGCCTTAGATCTGAAGCTTTACACTGGAGCACTGGCTACAGACGTGAGAGAGGATTCAGTGACAATTAGTTTGAATGACACAATAAAGTGGAACTAAACACTGAATCCACATTTTTTTACTACTAAACTGTGTATTTGGTGTTTTAACAGCATTATCTTCTGTCCAAAGTCGTTTTTGGAAACTTTTGTGCAAACGAGGTACATTTGCAACTTTCTTAAACTTTCAAAAATGCCTAAATCCAAGTTTGTGCTGCCTTCAGTGACCTCCATCGACTGTGTAAAGAAGTGGACTGAGGGAGTGTGACGTCACCCACAGCGTTCAGCTCCAGTCAAATGAAGCTCACCAGGCCGGCAGTTGTAGAGTCGAATTTAGAGCCGGATTTATATTAAGAACAGGAATTTATTTACTTACAAAATAGCAAAATAAATACCCCAGGATCATGTAGAGCGAGTTAATCTGAACATTTTAAGACCAAAATGACGAGTCTCAATGCAGCACTTACAGAGACACGTGAAAATGTGTCAGTGTAAGTCAACTGGAGCCAGAGTCGATGGAGCCGGAAGCTCCCCCGTGAACAATTCCTGTCTGGAACGTGGAGACTAGTGGATTAGCTCTGTCCATTTATACATACAGTCTGTGGAGGCCTCTAGACCCCACTCACTCTCACTCTCCCCTTTAGTCCTCCTCCTCCAGTCCAAATAGTTTGAAGTGGAGCGGAGTTGAAAGGTCACAGTGACTTGTTTGCGTCTGTAAATGTGGATTTGAATTGGAGAATGTTTGAGGATCTGAAACTGTCCTGCTGTAAATATTGTGTTTTTTTCATCATGTTTTTAACTGTTTTGTATTTTAGTGAAAAGCTCGAGCAGGAACAGTTCGACGCTCGACCTTCTGTGCGCGTCAGGACAAAAATCACACTCCCGATTTAAGTCTGCGCTCATTTTCATTTTGTTTCCTTTGAGCAGTTTGTGCTTTTGCTTCAGTGACTTTTAAATAAACTTTACAGACACCGAACTTTTACTTTGGAATAATATATTTACAGTCTAACCTGTACTCGTATTTGAGTAATATTTGTACTGCAGTAACAGTACTGTTACTTGAGTAAAGTTTGTGCTTCACGTGACAAAATGAAATGATTTGAACATTTGTGTTTCTTTTGTGTTGCGGCTCCTTCACATCGGATTTAGTTTGTCTAATTTTTGTGTCTGTTCTTTGAAAGCGCCAGATTTTGGGATTTATTTCAGGTTTTGTCCAATTTAATTATTATTTAGTAAATTAATTATTTATTAATTATTTAAATTAATTAATTAAATTATTTAATCTCAGGGTCTTGTTCACGAGTGACGGGAGGACGGAGCGTGAGATTGACAGGTGGATCGGTGCAGCTTCGGCAGTGATGCGGTCGCTGTATTGGACCGTTGTGGTGAAGAGGAGCTGAGCCGAAAGGCGAAGCTCTCGATTTACCGGTCAGTCTTCGTTCCTACTCTCACCTCTGGTCATGAGCTCTGGGTAGTGACCGAAAGGACAAGATCGCGGATACAAGTGCTCGAAATGAGTTTCCTCCGCAGGGTGTCTGGGCGTCTCCCTTAGAGACAGGGTTAGGAGCTCAGTCACACGGGAGGAGCTCGGAGTAGAGCCGCTGCTCCTCCACGTCGAGAGGAGCCAGTTGAGGCTCGAGCATCTGTTCCGGATGCCTCCTGGACGTCTCCCTCGGGAGGAGTTCCGGGCATGTCCCACCGAGAGGAGGCCCTGGGGAAGACCCAGGACACGCTGGAGGGACTATGTCTCTGGGCTGGCCTGGGAACACCTCGGGGTCCCCCCGGAGGAGCTGGAGGACGTGTCTGGGGTGAAGGAAGTCTGGGAGTCCCTGCTTAGGCTGCTGGAGCTGGAATCACACCAGCCAAACCTGTGGGTCAGTGGATCTGACCGCTCAACCTGAGATGTTTATGTCGAGAGCTGGATTCGAACCACCAACCTTCAGATCAGTGGGCGAATGCTCTACCAACTGAGATACTGCCCTGTGAATCTCACAGTGCTTCAGAAGTAAGTTCTTCTTTAAAGGGAGGTACATTTACAGCGAACATCTCCATCTTGCGGGATTTGCGGGCAGGAGCTGGACAAAATATCACAGATTCAAGATTGTCCATTGATCTGCCCAGTGGCTCTACATCAGCAGAGGATGTCAACAATGACGCAGCTGTATGTGAGCCAAAGGAAGCGATACATCTGATCCAGCTGATGAACCTTTAGAAGCACCTGTTCTGCTGCCTCACACAACATTACCCAAGCTCAGTCATGTCAGAAGCAAAATAATGAGAACTGTCAGAAAAGCCACTGCAACATTCCAGTGAGAACAAAAGTCTTCATCAAAAATAGCCGAAGAATTCACCGCATGAGATCAAAACTGGAACCACACTGGACTGGACCCTATGAAGTTACTGAATCTCTCACCAAAGGCAGAGTGAAATTACAGAATTGTGCAGCAAACCAGATGCTGAAAAACATCTATCATACCACCAATCTGGAAGTTTATGATGCTGCAGATTCTGCTGCTGCCAATGGAGAGAATCTGCAGGTGACTGAGGGACACAGTTCAAGCAAACACAAGCTTGATGAAGATCTCCAGCCAAATAAGAAGCCTAGAGTTTCTCAGACGTTCTGCCCATGTCAGCTATGGCAAGGAAAAACCGAGCTGAGACCTTAGGCTTGAGAACCTGCAAGCCTGTTTACTTTAGAAGAGCAAAATAATGAACAGTACCAAAGAGACTGCATAAGGTGATGGTGATTGTTCTTCTCAGGCCTTGAGTTTCATATTTACTGGAACTGAAGAGCCTCGCCTCGCTCCGTGACAGTGTTGTTCAGCATGTGAGTGTCAGTAAAAGTTTTAGTCGCTGCCTCACCAGCCCATCACTGAGTTTACAGCTTCAAGTGTGATGGAGAAATGTGCTTTTTGGACAACAGATGCTGAACTCATTTACACAGCATCACTGCTTGGCACTGACATCATTGTACTCGAAAGCAGGTGGAAGTATTACTTACCCAGCTTCATTCAGTCTACATGATACTACAGAAACTGGCACATACCCCGAGAAAAAGTCAGACAACTTCAATGTTGTTTAAAACACAACGGACTCCAGGCACTCCAAAAAAAAGCAAAAACCGCACGAGGAAAAATATAGTTAAAAGGCTTTTATTTAAATGGCCAAAGCCGACATGTTTCGATCGACCTGGTCTTCACCAGAGCTTAGTTAAAAAACAGAACATGGGCGTGGCCTTTAAGTAAAACACACCAACCAATAGTAAAGACTGGAGTCGACTGGAGGCAGACAAAACAGGTGCAAGATCAGCAGCACAGGACATGGCACAGGCAAAAAAATATACACACAATACACATATATACATGTGCATGGACGTGCACACTAATATGAAGAAAATAAATATGTAAAAAATAAAAACACAAATAACAACAACAATATTATTATCATTACTATTATTTCCATTATTATTACCATAAATTTGTATTATTTTTATACTTATTTTGTAATTATTTTGTTTTTATAATTATCGCTATAATTTATTATTATTATAACAATAATAATAACAATAATAATAATCATTATAATTATTGTTCAGTGCTATTATCATCATCATTAACATCACTATTTCCATCCATCCATTTTCGTCCGCTTATCCGGAATAATCCACATTTTCAGTAACAATAACATATTAAACACAATAAAGTTACAACAGGTGGATTTTATCCTCTGGTGACCCACACATTTGGAGACTGGACTCAACTGATTCTTAATTAGAATTAGACAAATTGTATTGATTCATAACGGAGATTATTTGGACACAGTTGAACGTCTCACATCACAATGTAATATATAATCACGAGTAAAAACATAAATGGTAATAATACATTCTCAATAAGTAGCAAAAATAACAAGAGACTGGTGTATAATAAAGTCTAAGTATTGCACATGTACAAGAAATTTTTTTTAAATCTAGTAAATATATGTATCCCTCCCAAGTTTTACTCCTTATTTCCGCTGTTCTGACATGCTGCTATTTAGACACTGACGTCTAATTGTTGAAGTAGGAGCATAAACATTATTTTTCAAGTGTCTCAATACTTCATCTTCTTTTTTTTTTTTTTTTTGTTCATTGTTCATTTGGGAGGGGGGACTTATTTCATTTTGATGTTTCTTGCCTCTGAGCTCCGTCTGAAGCTTCTGCACAGGAGCTGCACATCTTCAGGTTCACTGCCAACTGTGGAGGAGCAGAGATCAGAAATGATTCAGTTTAAACTGTTACACACCTGTAAACACATCACATCCAAAACTACACTACAACAGGACTAGACCAGGACTAGACCAGGACTAGACCAGGACTAGACCAGGACTAGACCAGGACTAGACCAGGATCAAACAGATGGAGGATAAAGTCGATTATACAAAGTGTAAATTCTTCAGTGGATTCCAGCGCAGTGAACTCCAGACCTCAATAAAGTCCGGCCAAGTCTGAGTCTGGGAACAGGTTTTTTCTGAGTTTCCAGAGGAATAAAAAAAACAACCAAAATGAAAAACTTGTGTAAAAAGTGACTTTGGCTTTAACTCCTGAAACACGACACACGAGTGAAGGAAAGTCTCTGTTGTGTTTCTCTGTGCTGAAGTCTAGAGCAGATTAGAGCCACAAAGTCTGGCTGTAGACCTGCACCAACATGCACCTCCACCAACACGTCCCTCACCATTTTCATTTGTTTACTTTTTATAAGAAAATTAATTAGTTTTTATCAGTTTTTGCCTCGAGGTGAAGTTAAGTTAAGGTGCACTCTGTTGTCCCTGTAGGTCCTGTGTGTTTGACACATTCATTCACTATTAAATGTTATTGAAAGTTCATTTTTGCACTTATCAGAACTTCAGAGATTGTTTTAATCCTCAGTACATTTCTTTAAGTGTCCTAATGTGAAAGTGTCTTTGTGTTGTCTGGTCTCTGTTTGCAGAGAAATTAACAGTTTGTCGTCTCAACATAAAACATTTAATTGTGGACATGTGGCCTACAACTGGGTAAATACAAATAAAATCCATTTTGTCCATGAATCTGC